AAAGTGTGATAGAAATACAATAAACAAAATAATAAATCAAGATATTATACAGCCTGTCTCAGGTCAGGTCAGACCATGCTCCAGACAATTCTGCGGACTATTCTATTCCCAACCTAACAACTTGCTTTCCTTTGACCTGGCTATGGTTTTTCTTTTCCCAGTTCCTGTGTTTCTAAAGACTCCCCCCCCCCCCCGAGTTTTCAACTTGACTACTTCCTTGACCCACATCCCCACACATGGCTGACACACCACCTTCCTCTACAGTCACTGCCTCCTGGCTGTTCCGGTTCCAGACTTAAAAATCAAACCAGGGGCACAGACTGCTCTTGTGCAGACATTCCAGTAGGCTTCTTTTTTCCTTGGAGGAAACTCCCACTCCTCCTCCTCTTCCTCCATCTAGGCAAAGGCTGTGCATTAAGGAAGGACGAGAAGACATCACCCAAATTCTACTCCCAGAATGAATTATGCCATCAAGTACATTTGTTCGTGTGAACATCTGCATAATTTATTCTGCTTCCAAGACCTGAACATTCAGATGTGTAGGGGCAGAAGCCAAGGAGCATTGCTCCAAAAATAAACAGAGAGCAAAGGACTTTCTTCATCTTCTTGGGGAGGCAGTATAGCTCAGTGAGCTGGAATGAGGACATCCCTTTATAAACAAAACCCTCCGCATTGTATATTGCACCGCTGATGATGGAACACGGCAACACTAAAAGTAAGATCCAAGTCTCTTGGTGTAGAAAAGATGGATTCTCCAGACTCTCACACCAGAGCAGCCATAACGGAGCCTAGGAGATTTTATCACAATTCTTCAGTGACGGGAAAAGGAGAAATCCTCACCCCAGCAAGGACCTCGCTTGCCCTTGGCCATCTCTTGGTTGCAAGGTGTCCATACCTTTCCATTGCTGTTAATTCTCGAGGTCACCAATTTGGCGACAGCTCTCCCTCTCGGTACACAAAAGCCTCTCCGATGTATCTTCCAGGGCAGCCATCTGCCCCTCGAGGGCCGAAAGGCGTGTCCCCTGTGCCTCAAACTCTTTGGCAAGTCGTTCCACATTTGTGGCAAGGCGGTGCAGCCGGGCATCCAAGCATACCGCTGCCACACACCTGCCACTGTAACAGAAAGTGCTTCCACGACCAGGAGGAGTCCCAAGCACAAGCTCAACTTCTCCAGCATCAAAAGCAGCAAGCGGTTTGTCCACAGAGTCTACCATTTCTTCTTTGATCTCCAGAATGCAAGCGGGATGACAGAACAGGGTCAAATGTACTTAGGGCCAAGCCTGCAGCAGCTCAGCCATATTCCAGCTATGATTCCCCTAGTTTTACATGCAAGGTTCCCAAGTTGAAGGAAAAATTAAAAGCTTCCAACCTAAGCTGCCATAATTCTTGTGCGGTAAGAGCAACAGAAGGAGAAAGAGGGAGGAGGAAGCCAACAAGGGCCCCTCAATGAAGCAAAGGACAAATAAGAGACCTGCCACCTCAAAGCTCTATATATTCAAAATCCTTCCTGAACAAGATGTGAAAACAGGGTGCGAAAGGCAGGGAGGAGCAGGATGGAAGTATAAGTAGTCAGAGCCCATTAGGCAAAGCAGAAGACAGGTGGTGGCTACCTGCTGTCAGGTGGATGTTTACAGGGGAGGGAGGGAACCAGGGCAACCACTTTGATTGACCTCAGCCATTGCAATTACTTGATCTCTTTATTGGATATCAGGCTGAAGACAAGAGCCTGTGGAGACACAGCTGGCACAGTCAAGTCAGAGCAGAATAAGGAGCAAAGGAGCAAGCTACCAAGTCAAAAAGCTGGTCCATCAAAATCAGTACTGTCTATGCTTAAAGATCTTGATCTGAAAATTTAAGAATCTGTCACAGGCACCGCAAAAAAAAATACCCATTTTGCAAAAGGAAATCGTGTGATGCTTGAGACCCTACTCCTTCAAAGAGGCAAAACACCTATGCACATCCCAAAACAATTAAGATACAGGAAAAATAAAGCATGGGGCACACACATCCAACCAAAATACTCCATGCCCATCAAAAATCCTCAGTTTTTAAAAAAATAAAATTGGGAGGACAGAGGGCCTCAGCAGAGGGAGGGGTCTGAAGGCACTATGGTGCCCACAGGCTTACATCAGGAACCCCAACATGTACAACTCCAGGCTTTCAGCAAGTGGTCTTTCCCTGTCCTGCCTGGAAGAGCTAGGACTGAACCTGGAGCATTCTGCATGTAAAGCAGGGGCTCTACCATTGACCCAAATAACCTAAACTTTCCCCCAAATAAGCAGATTGGTATGAGGGGTGAGAATACACACAATGCTAAAACAGCATTGACCAGAAATACCTTTTCATCATATTACAAAAACTGAGAAATCTAGGCCCTGCACAGGATAAAATAATAGAAAACGAAAGTGGGGGCTGGAAGCATACCACAGAGCGAATGCTGACAAGACTGCCCACAATATATTAAAAATACACCCTCCAAATCAATATGAATAAGCAAAGAGCCAGCTATGCAAAAGAAGGAGGGGGGCGTTATAACTAAAAATACATGTAGTTGCGCACTGCTCCACTACTCAAAGCAGTCAGGAAGAGGATACTGGCAGAGAGAGAAGACAGAGGCCTATCAAGAAAACTGGAAGCCAATAACAGAGTGAATACAGAGGATGAGAGAAGAGAAAAGGAGGCAAACTCAGGTTTTACCTCTACATATCATTAGGACAACAGCTGGCAGAAAGTTGTAAGAGCATCAGAAAAGCCTGGCTGTTGGATCAGGCTGGTGTAACTTGCTTTAAACAGTGGACAGTGAGATGAATGATGTTGCATTCGGTGGAAACCAAACTGCAGCATAATGGAAGCAGTGCTGATTAGGATGAATGGAAATCACTGCCTTCTTACATCCCTATTTTTAAATAACCCATTTAAAATATTTCAGTGCTTTTGATTAAGGCAGACTCCAGCAGAGTCACTGGAGCACCTTCACTCCTTTAACACTGGCTGGAGGAAGCTTCCTAATCTGCCCCCCAGGGCAGGAGGCTCCTTTCACATCATTAGGCAGGGCAGCTAATTGCTAATTCATGGAGGGAAAAGACAGCTGGACTAGGGCCAGGAAATCATTGCTCAGCTCCAACTCACCCTTGACAAACCAGCCATCCAGACTGTGAGTAAGCCACCCAAGCACTGGCAATGCTTCCGGCTCACTGCTCCTTGCCACATTAGAGGGCACAGTTCTTTTGCCAAGAGGGGAAGCAAGATCTCCTGAAGAACTACACCCAACAAGAGGCAATGGTGAGGCCTCTTCCACACACTCCATGGGCCCAGAGGGATAGTTCCAATCAGGATAGGGGGGGGGTGATACCACACACACACACACACACACACACACACACACACACAGCATTATTCTCATGGCTGATCAGATCCCAAGCACCCATAAAGTTAGATAAATGAACAGAGAGAGCAGTGCATAATTCCCAAACACTGGTATAATTCCCAAACAGATGCCTATAGGTAAAGCATTTCCAAATCTTCCAGTGGTTTAAAAAAAAGTAATTAGAATCACAGAATTGTAGAGTTTGAAGGTCTCACCCCCTGCAATGCAGGAATCACAGCTAAAGAATCCCTGCCAGATGGCCATTCAACTTTTGTTTAGAAACCTCCAATGAAGGACAGTCCACTCCCTTCCAACAACTTTGTTCATATCCATGCCATATATTGAAAGCACATGGCTTTCCACCCTGCCCCCAAAATAATTACGGAAACTGTAATTTACCCCTCAGAACTACAATTCCCAGCATGCTTGACCAACTACACTAGTTCCCAGGACTCTTTGAGGGAAGCCCCATGCTTTCAATGTATGGGTGGATGTGGCCTTCCCACAAGCAGGGAGAAAGAGTGAGTTGGGTCTGATCCTAACAGGTTTGTTGCTTGCAGAGATTTTTATAAAAGGGGGGGAGGTGGGAGTGACACCTCCACCTGTACTCTGAAGTGACATAGTCCATGCTGGTTCACTACAGAGCTGTCCACTTACTGGAGGATCCCAGCCATTCTGTCAATGGGGTCAATAAGATGATGAGATGGAAAAATGACAAAGAGCCCTCTTTCAGGGTGGCTGCCTATGGCCAGCACAAAGGGACGCCTGTTGCCTGCAGTTATGCAGCAGTGCTTCAGTGAGCTGGAAGGTAATGGAGTGGGGTGGGAAGAGGGAGGGAGAGGGGGGAGAAAGGGGGGGGCAGGCATGCCAAACCTTGGGAGGCTGCATTGCCCTCTTGTGCAGAGTATTCCTGCTGCTCCTCCATCCCTCCACACAACAAGTGCCTGTGTCCTCTGCAGAACTGCTTTGTTAGTGGAGGATGGGGTAGGCGGCTGTCATGCTCACGAGTGCTGGACATTGTTTCACAGTGGCTGACCTCATCATCTCAATAAAGGCAGGTGCTGTTCATCATCAGCCTACCATGTTCCAGAAAAAAGGAGCAAGAGTTGGGAGGAGAGACACCAGAACCACCCAGCACCCCCCAATTTGTAAAGAACACGTTCTGAATGGAAGGTATAATAATAATAATAAACTTTTATTTATATCCCGCCTTCCCCAGCCGAAGTCGGGCTCAGGGCGGCTAACATCAAATATATAACATTGGTATAAAATCAAACAATAATTAAATTACCTCCTTGTGAATGCTGCGCTTCTGGACACAGGAGGAAGGAAATTCACATTTCAACTCTGTGTGTGTGTCTAGCTTTTCCTGGGCCCTTTGAGACTCAAGACTCCCAAATGGATTAAGCATCACTGACCACAAGAAGCTCAGGTGCCACTCACGTGACACCAGGCAGGAATCAATTTTCTATCTCTTTCTCATACAGACACTCTAAATACACAAACACACAAATATTACACAAGAAGCTGCCTTATGCTTTATTGGATCATTGGCCCATCTAGCTCAGTGTTGCCGACACTGGCTGGCAGCAGCTCTCCAGGGTTTTAGGTGGGAATCTCTCCCATCCCTCCCTGGAGAGGCCAGGGATTGAACCTGGTACCTTCTGCAAGCAAAGCAGGTGCTCTTCGACTGAGCTATTGGCCCTCCCCCCAATACGTACATACACATCTGCTGCCCACAACAGCAGCCACCCCCTAACAAGAGTTATTATGTTTGCTTACAACTGCTGAGGCAAGGAGAAGCATTAGGGAAAACAGAATCCTAAAGCCTGGTGTTCGTTCACTAATCTATTCAATTCACACCCTGCCTTTCTTCCATTTATATAGTGTTTTATAAAAAGTGCAGATAAAGAAAATGTCACCTTTTCCACAATAAAACAGTGTGCAAGGCAACTCACAGAAAACACTAACTTATTAAAATACACAAGGAGGGAGGGGGGGTTACAAAAAATATAAATGGGGGGGGAATCAACAAACATTGCATAAATTCAATCTTACAAATAATATAGGCTTAACACATAACCAGTACTGAACTAAATCAAAATTAACAACCCCAGTAATAAATACATCAAAATAAATACATCAAAATAAAGTCTTGCTCCACTATTAAACAAACATAACAGATAAAATAAGAAATTAAACAACAATAACCCATAAAAGCACCAAGGAAAGGGGAGGTGAGGGGGGAGCAATTACATCCTTTTATTAAAACGTCTCCATAAGCCTTTTGAAATGCTCTGCAGGCACCTAATGTGTTCACCCAACTCCCAAATTAATTTGGTTCCCCAGAGCCCTGTGCAGAGAAACAAGCTCAAGCATTAGCAAGACAAGCCCAGCAAGGAACTGGCGGCTCCTTCCAAATGTACTTTTCCCGTGCTGGGATCCCTGAAACACAGAATCGGTGAACAGCTTGTAGGGAAAGGGTCTAGGGAGAAGGAAGGAGAGGAAGAGCACAGTCTAAAAAGAAAGAGGCTTGGGCTTCACAGCTTTTTCTCCCTCGAGACAGGAGAAAGCCAAGGAGCCCTTTGGGAGCTAAAGTCAACACTCAATTTGTTTCCAGACAACAAGGGCATGTTCATACAAACAATCTGGCTCCATAATGATCTTAACATGACTGACTGGTTCCTTTACAATGCTCCTTATGCTACTCCTTACATGAGCTTACATGAGGTATGGGAAATCTTAGCAGGGGTAACTGGGGCTCCCACAGCCACAACAAAGCCAAGAGAAAGGTGATGGGGGTTTGACTGACTGGTAGGAAAGGCGAAAAGGGCTTGGAAGGAAGAGGCAGGCCTGATGCAGACTGTAAGGGAGATGCAGGTCACCCCCCAAAACATACATTTAAAGCACTTTTATACCACTGGTGGTCATGGCATCCCTCAGAGAATGCTGGGAACTGTAGTTTGTTAAGGATGCTGAGAGGTGTCAGGAGACCCTCACAGAGTGACAATCCCCAGCCCTCTTAGCAAACTACTGCTCCCAGGATTCTTTGGAGGAAGCCATGACTGCTACAGAGGTGTAAGAGGACTCATAATGAAAATAGGTCTGCAAAAGACACTAGCCCACTACTTGTTAATTTTTTTACTAGCCTGCCTACCTTTCCAAAGCTGTTTACGTCGGCCATGTTTGAGAAGAAAAATCAACTTTTTCAAAGTTTATTAGACTGTTGCTTGGAAGCCATTCCTACCCACCATAGGCCAGCAGGAAAGTGCCCGTCTACAACTTTAAGCTAAAAGATCCCTTCGTAAGATTCTGTAGCGGGGGGGAAATGCAGTTAACTGGAGCCTTGTGGGGAGCAGCCAACAAAAATTCTATTACTGACTGAAAGAGAAGCTCACGTAAGCCTAACCACCCTACTGAAATGCTTGCTGCTGCATTCTGAACTTTGCATTCACACTTCCTGGATTTGCTTTCAACATCTTCCCTGGTTGATCCAGGGCAGCCTCAGAGCTCTGCTGTTATTCGCCATCCTGGCTTGCATTTCTGCTTCATGAAGGGGAGAAAGCAGGAATCCAGGCCTAATGCCCCAAGAAAGTTGAGCTGCATGTTCTCTTCTCTATCTATCTATTTATCCCTATTAGCTCTCAACTTCTACAAGGAAAATGAAGAAACATAGCAGCTGCATAGAAGTTGGCATGTAATAACAAGGAGGCGAGCAGCTCGTGTATCCAGATCTGTTGGAAGATGTTCTCACAGAGGAACCCTCTTCCGAAAGAACTCCCAGCAGCAGCCAGACAGCTTGATGCTCTCCTGCTAGTGAACAAGCGGAAGTGGCACTAAAGAAGCCTCATCAGTGGCTAGTAATTATTGTTATTTCATTAATAGACAACGCATTCGCAGGATACCAAATTCCCTGTGAGATACCGCATTCCACATCTGCATGTGGACATACACACAGTTCCAGAATTAAAAAGATAACATACGAAGATCAGAAGTGCCTGCTGGATCAGGCCAGCGGTTCATCTAGTCCAGCAACCTGTTCTCACAGTGGCCACCCAGATGCCCCCATGGGAAACCTGCAAGCAGGATTCGAGCACCAGTGCCCTCTCCCCTCCTGCCGTTTCCAGCAATTGGTATTCAGAAGCATTGCTGCCTCCAGCCACGCAGGAAGAGCACAGCCGTTGTGGATAGCAGCCACATCTCCTCCATGAATTTGTCCAATCCTCTTTTAAAGCCATTTGGGATGTGCAATAAATTTCCATACTATTGAATACCGGTATTGAAATAACATCGTGATACGTGTTTCAACAAGACAATACACTGTTGAACGACAATCAAGGATCCAACGGCAAAGTAAACAAAGAACACAAAAAACTGGAAAGCATTTTTTTTTTCTTTCTTTTAGAAAAAAAAGAGGGGGAAGAGTTTTTATTTTTATCTTCTGGTGGTGTTTATGTTGTTTATGTAGCTTTCCTCCATATCAAAAAGGAAGAGTTTGTTTATTTATTTATTTAAAGGAGACTATCTTTTTGCTTGCTTGCCCTCCCTCCCTTTGATAAAAAGGGAAAGATTAGTAGGCTTTGCAGGGAGCCCTTCTGTGGGGGGAGATGGAGGGGAGAAGACTTAGCTGGCTACCTTATGCTGAAATGGCAGGTTGGGTACTATGTGAGAATTATGGGGAAGGTGTTTTTTGGTAAGCAGTGCAAGCAAATGTGTGTCTATTCACAAGCAAGCCCTACTGAATTCAATGAGGGGAGCTTACTCCCAGAACAGTAGAAGTAAGTTTAGTTGAACTCAGTGGGGCTTATGCATGCATATATTCCACTTAGACCTCTGAGTGAGGAAGCAGATACAACTTGACAAGAAAATAACTTAAATAATAATAATAATAATAATAATAACAACAACAACAACAACTCATCTGGCTGGGTTTCCCCAACTGCTCTTACATTAGTTGAAAATATATTATATGGAAGTTTATTTAATATTTTTATTAAATCTACTAATACTTTACATTTCAAGGCCCTTAACTGCCACAGGGACCTCTTCAGGGCCCTCTGCTGCTACGGGGAAGTGCAGCGCACCCTCCACCACTGTGGGGAGGTACAGCGGGACCCTTTGCCACCGCAGGGAGGCCCAGCAAGTCCCTCCACCGCCATAGATATATACTGTCATATTTAGCTGGTGATATATCGTGATGTTGAAAATCATATATCGCCCAGCCTTAAAAGCCATCCAGGTTGGTGGACATCACACCATTTGGAGCGATTTCCAAATTTAACTATGTGCTGCAGGAAGAAGTATTTTCTTTTATCTGTCCTGAATCTTCCAACATAAGCACCCAGAACTGCACCCAGGGGGAGAGTGGAGGGCACATATGGCTACCATGATGACCCAGGCTGCCTGCCCAGCACATGCAGCTGTGCCCCAGACACATCTGGCCTCCTCCACTCTGACTGATCTCAGGGAAGGCTTCCTCCCCTCTTAAGGAGACTTCAGAGGCCCTGCCAGTTTCCACTTATGCCTCATATTCCCATAACACTTCCTGCCACCACCTGGGCCATCAGCCCGATTGGCAGCTCACCGGGCATCCAATTTTTAGCAGCCCCAACTGCACGCTTGACTTGAGAGCTGTAAACACCATGTGCTTCCCTTCCGTTTGGAGACAGGCCGAGGGAATGCAATGAGCTTCTCTGTGCTATGCAGCAGACTTAACTCTCGCAGGGGCCTTCAGGGATTTTGATAAGATTTAAAATGACCCCATTGGTACAAACACAAACACACACACACACACAGCACTCAAGCCAGCTCAAAGTCACTAACAGAGGTTTCTGCAAGCAGCCAAGAGAATATGGGTCACCTGCCCATTATGCTGCTCCTAATCCCTCTTCACAGGTACTCTTAAAGTCTTTATTGCTAGTTATAAAAGATCCTTGCCCCACAACCTCTCTCTCTCTCTCTTATACACATACACATACACCAATAATCCCTCTGTGGGGCAATACTCACACGGGGCAACTGAGTTCACAGGAAGGATCAACACAGCAACAGCAGGACCACAGTCACCACCCCCATTTTGTAAAGCAGCGATAACAGAACAACAGAACCTGTAGCAGTAAGTTAAACTTAATGCCTTAAAAGGTAGATTGGCTCAAGCAGAAAAAGATGTACCTTGAAGGTCATTTGCCACAAAGAGAAAAATAAATATTAATGTCTGAATGAACAAGCGATGTCCCCATATTGCACAAACTGTAGCTGATGTGTAGAACAGAAAGTCCAAACAAACACACGAAATTAATGTTATGTTCTCCACTGCCACCACCACCCTAGGCGCAAAATCAAAACTATAAGCAGAAGGATAGGCACACACCGTCTGGTGGGGAAAGTCACACAACAATCTGGGCTTAGCCTTCATCTTCTGCCACAAGTGTTCTTAAAACACCGATAATTTCATCTGCACAATAACTTTCAAATAGAACTAATGTTCCAGGGCCATTTCCACTTTTGCCTACGAAACTTTCCTGAAGCATCCTCAGCCTTTAAATATTTCACACACACATGGTCAAGATTAGAAGCTGGGAAGCTGGGAAGATCCCAATTTAAACCACAGCCAAATATTCCCTACAGAAGATATGGGTCACAGGATTATGAACTGAACACCTGAAAAGTACTGTGAAAATGTGTATTATTAAATGATAAATTATTGTTTC